CTCCTCATATTCCATCGCTGCTCGTTTCTAACTAAAGACTGCCGCTATATCGACACGCTCGCGTAAAAGAAAGAAAGAAAGTTATTGCTTACGTTTAAAGTGCAGCGTCACTGTCAGCGTTCCGAATTCGAATGGAATTTTTTTTCCAAGGTGATCTCTTATATCTATTTCGATCGTTTTGAAATTCGTTCGTCGCAATGGGATATAATTTGGAAATGAGAAATGCTTCACCAAATTTGTGTCAAATGCGTAATTATGACTGCGTATCTCGACCGGAACTATCCTGAGAAAAGGAATACGTACATCACCTGTTATACAGGATGTCCCAAAAAGGTCGGGACACCTAAATATCTCAGGAAATATAAGTTTTACAGAAAAGTGTTTCAGACAAAAGTTATATGGTTTAAAAATATCTATTTACTGATCCTATCAGTTTGACCTTGGATTGCATAGCCAAGGTCAGGTCAAGGTTACATTGATTTTCTTAAATGGAACACCCTGTTTTTGATTCAAGAATCTAATAGCTGATGTCGAGAGCTTTCCAAAATGCTATAATGAAATATTTTTTCATGAAATACTTTTCAATTTATAATGCTTCAAAGTTACAGTATCGCCGGCACTAGCATTACCCAAGATATGTAATACCACCTACGTTATGTTTTTGTGCGTTAACCGAAGGTCAAGATTCACAGACCACCTACTGATCTCGCCTTGACTGGCCAGTCTCCAAAATTAAATATTTTGGGTAATGCTAATGCCGGCGATACTGTAACTTTGAAGCATTATAACTTGAAAAGTACTTCATGAAAAAATATTTCATTATAGAGTTTTGGAAAGCTCTCGACATCAGCTATTAGATTCTTGAATAAAAAATAGGGTGTTCCATTTAAGAAAATCAATGTAACCTTGACCTGACCTTGGCTACGCAACCCAAGGTCGAACTGATAGGATCAGTAAATAGATATTTTTAAACCATATAACTTTTGTCTGAAACACTTTTCTGTAAAACTTATATTTCCCGAGATATTTAGGTGTCCCGACCTTTTTGGGACACCCTATATATGTTCGTACATATACACACATTCATACAAAAAATTTTCATTTTTCACATTTCCGTTCTAGCGAAAAAGTTACATGATCGCTATCCTGGTTCTATATTAGTCGCATCGCAATGTCGCAAGCGTGTCGCAAGCGTTATGATCCAATCAGAGTCGAGCTAGCTTAAAACTGGTTCTACATTAATCGCATCGCAGCGTTGCAAGCGTTGCGGTTCAATCAACGTCAAGCTAGCTCGACTCTGATTGGATCATAACGCTTGCGACACGCTTGCGACGCTGCGCTTCGAGAAATGTAAAACCAGCCT